ATAATTGACTGACATTGCATGTTTTATCTAATACCAAGAACTATATCCTTAAATATTGTTTTGTTGCGGAGATACGATGACCTCTCATAGGAAAGATTTTTCTGAATTTTCTGAAAATATTGATTCGCACGTAGAAATTTAGGATTTCATCTCTGAATAACTTCAGTCAAAAGCATGTATCTATCATAGAAAAGAAGGTTATTTTAACACCGAGACATCGACAACATTTATTAAATTATCTGTCAAGTTATTTTTCTTTCTTTAGAAATACGCTAGAAGATATATGTACTTAATATACATACATCTTCAAAGAAAGTCTCAAGAGATTTTCTATAAAAAGACAATTCTGAGAAACCATCGAGAAGACTCCTATCCCTTTTTGGTTTTTTGAAGAGTTGTCCAGACTTTGTTGAAGAGTATCAACTAGAAATGTGTATTCATTTTGCTCTTTATCTAAATCAGCTTAAACGAAACTAATAACTATAAAAAAAGGAGAGTAACTTTGCTGTGTCAAAATATATTCTCTGATAATAAAGTTCCAGTCAAAAATAATTAAAAACGCTTCTCATACGACCTATTTAAATTAAATATGTGTGACTGTCTCTCTTGCGTGTCTAAATCGATATTTGCTGGGTTTTGGGTTTCTCACATTTCATCTATTTGATTTCTGTAACAACAATTAGTCTAAAAATAGTCATTTTTTTTAGATCGAATATCCCATGGGAAAAAAAGTTTTGAATTTTGTGTATAGAGTAAAAAGTCAATGGCGGATTTAGAATTCTTCTTTGATACGTGAGTATCACAGAAACAAATTATTTTGAGATAATTCTACTGGGATAAATCGCTTTTTTTCCTTAAAAGTTACATACTGCACTATGACTGAATCCGTTACTGAAAAAAATGATAAAACTTAATCACATTCTACAATAATCAGTGGTTGACACAGTTTTTTATACGTAAACTAAAATGACAAACCAAACGTGTATCGTAAAAACTAATTAGTTAATTATACAATTAATTTTTTTTAAAGTCTTACTGTTTTCTCCCCATCAGAGACCGAAACGAAGCATGGTTTTTCAATAGGGTCTCGTTGTAAAAGTCCAAAAACTTTCCTCACTTCGTGAACTTTCGATTCGCTTATAACAAGCCATCCTTACAGTTTTTCTTCCTCACTTGATCTTGTCAATCGGTGCCATCTAAACCTTTTAGAATTGTGTCAGTAGTGGACTTCGAAAAACTTGAAAGTTTTCCAAATTATAAGTATTAGGAAAGAGAACTCTCTCTATATGGAAGTTAATCAGACAAAACCAGACGATGATTTTAAATTAATCAAACTTACTTTTCACACCTGTATGTTTATATATTTTTACGAATAGGATATTGTATACATGCTGAATTAGGTTGAAAGTGTGCATTTGTCCAAACATAACATTCTAAAAATGTCATTATTTCCACCTTTCTCATTTTCTTTTTTGATTCTGTTATGCTGTCACATTATTTATTATGGTTTGGGAAAGAGGGAACAAAGGGGGAAGGGACGAGAATGGTTATTATTACATAGGAGAAAAATGTTTGCATTAAAGGTTTTATTACCTTTTTTATTCTTATAAAATAGTATTATGATGATGACTGTTATTACCACTTCGGCGTTTTCTATTTCTATGTGTTAATAATTGTAAGGTAAGCGAAATAGACATTACACAGGGGCTTGTTTGAGGTAGAGCGCGCGCGCGCGAGAGAGAGAGAGGAACAGAAAGAAAGAGAGAAAGAGAGCGTAATTCTTTTGAGATTTTAAACAGATGGTTTTCGTACTTGGAAGGTAGAAGATTTTATAACATCATCTTCTTCGTTTTCTTATGGTTTATTAATTTCGATAATGAGCTTTACGTGCTTTCATGCGACCAAAAACCAGTTAAGTTCTGTTTTCTTTTTGCGTTATTATAAATTTTAATGCATAGTCAGAAAAAAACAGACAGTTTCCTTGATTCTAATATCAAAAGAGAAAAAAGTAAAAGCACGAAAAGAAGAAGCTTTTCTTTTCTCTTATACTTGGTTCAAACGGTCGGAGCTAGATCACCAGTTTATTACCAGTTAATACAGGAAGAGTTAACCGTGGGAATTTTTATCTTAATAATTTAATATAATCCTACATTGTATATTTTGAATGGGAAAGTGCAGACAGTATCTAGTCCTAATTTTATTCTTTTCGAACATTATTATGTTCGTTTAACATGGAAGGTTACTGTATTTACCCACCGTAGTAGCCTTTTAGATAAAGATCTTTCTCTCACAAGATTAAATGAACTGCTACAATTTTTTTTTTTATCTTCTTCCTTCGTTTAGCAATAACGGAAACATATTTGGCTTGGCAACAACTTAACGCTTAACATTGTTTAATTAATTAATTAATTATGACGGAAGATTTAGATCGTAAAAAATTGGTTGTTGTCGGCAATGGAAATGTTGGAAAAACATCGCTGTTATACGCGTTTAAAGATGATCGATTTTGTCAAGATTATGTTCCAACATTATTTGAAGGAAATACTCATATTATCGAAGTAGATAATAAACATATTGAACTTTTATTAATAGATACCGCTGGGCAAGAAGAATATGCACGGTAAGGATCAGTATTTTGTTGCTGTTTTATTTCATTCTTTTCATTTATGATCTCTTCTCTTTTGGCTTTAGATTACGTGTGCTTGGCTATCCTAACACCCAAGTTGTTCTAATATGTTTTGCATTTGATTCGCCGGATAGTTTAATGTGTGTCGTTGAGAAATGGGCACCCGAAGTCAAATATCATTGTCGAAATGTTCCAATATTACTAATTGCAAATAAATGTGATCTAAAAGACGATACCGCTGTACACGAACGAATTAAACAGTTAAATCAGAAAGTTATAACTACAGAAGATGCACTGCTATGTGCGAAAAAAATTGGTGCAAGAAATTATTTAGAATGTTCAGCAAAAACGAGACAAGGTGTTCGAGAAGTATTTGAATATGCAGCTAAGGTAGCGTTGGATAAAGGCAATAAAACATCATGTTGTAATTGTTGTTTACTATAACTACAGTACTTCATTATGAAACCAGTGATTTCAGCCTTTTCTTTTGCATTATATGTATGTCACTTCTAAATTGCCATTCAGTCAAGTATATCAGGATGTTCTTTGTCCAACGTCGAACTTCAGTATTCTGAAAACTATATGTGGAATAATATTTTAATTTCACGATTGGAACGGTATTGGGTTTGGATTTTAAGTCTTTTTTACTTCACGAAGTTTCCAATAGAGATAATTCCGTTTATTCTTTGTATACCGAAGTGCTCGGTGTTGTGTTGACTGAACATATTTTATTTGTGCAATCCGTCCGCTATTTTTTCTTTGCTTTTTATTGTTGTACATAAACTATACATTTTGATTCGTTGTTATTTTATATATTAGTTGTTTCCAACATCAAAATTTCCAAGGTATCATTTTGTTATTTGTTTCAAAACAGATTGCCTTAGTTTTATTGTCTTGCCAGATTTGTTAGTTTGTTTTTTGCAGAATTGTATGTTATTGTGTTCAATGTTAAGAGAAAAGCATATTTATTTGTTGACTCGAATATGTTTTATTTTTCGAAACACGAACTGTAGCTGCCATGAAGTCAAAAAGTGAGTCATAGACGTGTGATTCTCACATTTGTCTGACCAGACAATACTGCACATGATGGAAAACTGAAGAAGTGTATAGTGTACAGTAAAGTTTTTCGATTTACTGTACATGTACTTTCTTCACAATACATCATTACAATATAGCTTTCCATGGCATACGTCTTTCCAAATTCAATGTATTAGCACACCAACATAATAACCGCAGATAGTATGCACCCACTGCAACAACTCTGTATTTGGTGGCGTTGATTTCTCACGTAATAATTGACAAAATTGTGCAAAATAAAATCTATTATGAAACATTTCCATTTATAAATGGTATTTCAGTGCATATTAATTAAAAATATAAGAGATATACTAAACATCTGTTCGGAAGAGCATATAAAATACACCTTTACAGATGATGGTCTTGAATCTTATCTTGAGGAAATAACTCGGTCAAGATATCCTACGTTAGTTAGCGCATAAAATGCAGAAATAGGCGGGTCATTTCAAGAATTTTTTCTAACTGCTGTAATACAAAACAATGAGAGAAATAAATGTTGTAATGCTTTATTACGATGAGACAACTATCAAAATACAAATCATTCATTCGAGTCTTTTGCACTTGAAGAAAGTATTGCGCGCAGATTAAACATTTAAGAATTTATGTCTCTCATTGCTTGCATTACAACAGTTACAACAAATTCTTGAAATGACTGGAGAAAAGAGAAAAACAACCCACGTCCCTCATGCTCTATCCTTAAATGTTGTTAAGTCGTTATTCTAATCAATAGGTATTATAGGCCTATTAGGAAATTAATTTTCTAGTACGAACTTTAAACATCTAAAAAACTCGTGGTTCCAGTTGTAGAGTCAGTCTATTTCTTTGTTATATCAATTATTTAGCTATGAATCGTGTGTGTTTTTTCTTGCATTAATTAACACTATAGATGGTACCATCACTTAACGTTTGAATATTTGTTCATTCCTTTTGAGCTTAGAGTTTCTGAAATCGGGTGGAAGACTTTTTCGATTTGAACGAACTGTTTCAACGGCATCTGTTTTTCTCTTTACGAGGTACAGAAATAGTTCTGGCAAGGAATAATAATTATCCATTACGATACAGTGTCCTAAATCCAGATAATCTTCCATCAATATCATCACTATTCGACTTGATAACGGTAAATCACTAAATTTTTCACTGTGACTTGTATCACGACCAGTATAAATAATAAAATCGAGAATATCACCATTTATATCACATAACATGAAGAATTTAAATCCAAATTGTGATCTTTTCAACGGAATATATTGTTTCCACAATAGGCGGCCCTTGTACATATGCAAGCTTTCGTCAACATCTAGAAATCTTCCTGGCTTGTACAGTCTTTTGAATGAAGAACGTAGAACTTCAATAACTGGCCAGATCTTTTCAATTTGTTGTCCGGATCGTGATCGGTTTCAAAATGTAACATTTTAAGTAATATTTGAAATCGATCAGCAGTCATAATTTTATTGAAAATCGATGTAGCTAAAAGTTCATCGGTTGAAAAATACATCTGAAGTTCGGGTTTTCTTATTATCCCTTGTAATATCAGTAAGGCAATAAAAGCATTAAATTCGTCAATATTTGTTGCAACCCATTTATTTATACATGAACATTGCTGACGAGGATTGGAATTTTTATATACATTTTCAGCATAGCGATTTGTTTCATATACAATTGTTTGTACTAAATCTCTAGGGAAAATGTAATTCCAAAATCCAATAGGGGTTTGAACGCCTTTGACTTGAACTTCGCGACTGCCAACAAACTGAAATGGATCTCTATTGACCGTTGGAGTAACGGTCCATTTAGTTAAATCAATTTCATCATCAGTGTCAGACAAAGATGAACTAGACGTTGACAAACTATCGTCAGTATCACTGTAAGAATCGTTGCTTGATATCATTTTGATTTTGTCAAAAAAACTTGATCGAGCAGTGAAGAATACGAACAAATGAAAATATATCTTAGGTCCGATAAAACGTTGTTATGTATATGATGGGCATCTAGCAAAATTGGAGAGATCTCTTCTCACACATGCACAACGTATATCTTCAAGATATCTTCAAGATATCCGTGTATATATCTATCAATAATAGATATTCTCTTTTTCTCTTTTGCCGTGTGAGTGCCACTCGCCATACCGTTTCTTTTTGAAAAGTGATTTGTCTGGGAAAATAAATGGTCCGAACGGTACTAAAGTAAATGGTCCATTTCACAACGATAACCCTACTGATGTTTCATTAGCTTTGGACGTATTAATGTCGAAACAGCTACTATCAGCTGGTGAATATATTCAAAAAACGAAAACTGCCCGTAGTAAGTCCTTCCGGAAGCAAGTGTTCCGTGAAAGATGATCCGGCTATTATTTCATATTTGAAATCAATTGGTATAGATGCCGATGGTTATCGTCGTTCCCTTAAGTCTTTACCAGTTAAGCCTGTGAAAGCGATTTAGTTGTCGATTTTGGCGAAGCTTTTGTGGCTGCTAATGCTGATGAGTGCCTCCTCAGGTAGAAAGTACGGGTTTCCAGGTTGTCCATTCTAGATGAACACATATTAGAGAAATACCTTTGACTGCTGAGTCGAGAAAACCTCAAGTTTTTGTCTCTTTTCTAACGATCGTGACTCACTCTCATGGCATCCACCCCGTATAAAACGCTGCAAGAATATCCACTACCACGTCCGAACCACTGAACTGTCCCATTTTGACCACGTCACAACATAATAGAGAATTCGCAGTCGATCCTTACCTAACCTAGATGGTGACCTAAACTAGTCAGAAATAATAAAGAATTCGCAATCGACCGTTACTGACCTAGATGGTGACCCAAACTAGTCAGACAATTGTAGAGAATTCGCAAATATATCATATACACCAACATGCATTATAATGAATTCCCAGCGAATGCGAATTCATTTCTTAGAAAATCAAATTCTCGGCGAATGTGTATTGTGCAAGCTATGTTCCTACCGAAACTTCGCGCCATCACGGTCTCTGCCTAAATCAAACTTCTTGCTGGCGTAGGCATAATTGTGATCTACACTGTAATTTGGAATTAATTTCTAGTTTATAGAAAATCGGTCTGGAAAATCGTCGAGCTTTTTCTGATATTTATAAAATGCTCGTAGATTTTCTGACTTTTTAAAAATTCGCGATTTTCTATTTTCTAGAAAATCGATTCGATTTTCTATAAATTGAATTTTCATTTTATTCAGAAAATCGCCATAGAATTTCCAAAAATATCAAAA